ATTGGACCCGGAAGCAAACTGGTCCCCAGTGCAGCTTGCGGAGCAATGGTGTTACATGGATCCTTCTTGGGGCTCCAAAAATAGCCCGCGCAGCCGCATTCTGGACCAGCTGTAGCTTCCGGATACTCTTCAAGGATAGCCCCATGTAGAGCACATTTTGCTACTTTATGTCAGATTGCTTCTCATTCATGATGGTGTTGGGATCTAGGCACGTAATAGGCAATAAGCATGGAACATATAAATTGTGAACTGTGAATGTTATCTATTCAAATGAGAAAGACAATAGGCTTACATAGCAACAGTTTGTTTAGCCATGGTACTAATGAAAACAGAAGACATTTTGATCAGGCTTCCAAAAATCTAATGGTGTCCGATGTCATTCATCTATAGCCTTCCTATTTTAACAACTGTGACATTCCAATCAGTATCTACTTGGCCTCTGAATGTTAAACACACTGTGTTTTATTTGTTTGTTTGGTTTGGTTTTTAATAATATGATATTTATTCTTTCTTTCTATTGAGCCTGCCCAACCTGCAGTGACTTCTTAAGCCTGGTACAAGGAATTATGGATTTACAAGAACTTCTAGCTAAAATGACAGCAAAAGTAGGTACCTGACTATTGCTCTCAATTTTTAATCCAAGTTGCCGTTTCCTCCATCTGTTAAGACCACAATGTCTGTATTTTTTCCACCTTTTGTCCATGGATTTATATGAATTTAATCCATACTATAGGATGAACTTACTTAAGTCAGGGGTGAGGGACCTGAGAATGACATAAAATGGTCTGCAAACAAGCATTTCAGAACTCTGGCAGGCATGTTGTATCCATATCCTGGCCATTCTATAAGAGGAGGGGAAAGAACATGGAAGGGGTAGCAAATAGAAGGAGTTAAAAGAACAAAATGGGTGGGACAAAATGCTGGCTCTGCCATCAGTTGTTCTGTTTACTATGTGTGACTTTCACAGTGCTCTCAATGGACTGTGGGTTTAGAAAGAAAAGATGGTTTTCTACTGTAATGGTTTGATTGTGTGGAATCATGCTATATTGTATACAAATTGGTGTCTCATTTTTAGACCAGGGATGGTAGGATGAGTCCACCTGAATTGTCAGCATTTACCCATGGCAAGCCAGAGAATATGTACTGCTGATGTATCACCACTATGGAATTGGAAAGGGTGCTCTTATGGATGAAAGTAAAGCAAAGATATGACCACTGTGGTTATAAAAATTATTAAAAACCCTGCTGATTTCAGTAAAAAGTCAATTATCTGAGAGTAACCCATTGAACATACACTTACAGTATTTCTAAGTAAACATGTGTAGGCTTGTAGTGTTGTTTCCTACTGAAAACAGTGGAATTAAAACTTAAAAGTTCTTTGGCTTTTTTTTCTTTTTAAAGCTTTGAATGGAAAGTACACCAGATAGCAGACTCTGCATGAATTTACTGACACTATATTTTGTTTTAGTGTTAAATTTTTCTTCAGACTTTTTATTGATGTTCCATCTTCATTTAAGTATGCCCTGCTTTCACAGCATGCTTTGAATAGGATTGTTTGGAAAAAGAAAAATATTAGATTTCATCTCATGTTACTGCAAAAAGGAAGACAATTCTGAGGCATGCTAGTGGCCTTAGTGCATTCTGATTCAGTCCTAATTGAGTGACTTGTCATTTGCCAGAGCTAATTATATTCTGTTTATTTTTTTTTAGGCTAGTTAATACTTATTATTATTCTGAACGTTGCATGTATCCATACAAATGGAATATTCTTTTAACTCCTTGTTCCTTGTTCCCCGTGATGCTGTTCTGGTGACCTTTGCAATACATAACTTTTTTTTTAATTGTCAAGAAAAGCAAACAGCACATGACGTTGTCTCTATTTTCATTAATAAATAGAAAATTCATGGTTTACTTCTAACATGATGAAATACCAGTCTCAGCAGCAGCTGCGGGATGTGTCAAAATCAGCAAGGTGATAGAGAATTGCAATGGAAGCCCTACCCATGTTGTGCATGTTCCAGGGGGCCAAGGCTTCCATTGTGATGTTCCATCCACCATATTGCTGATGTTGATTCTTCCCTGCACACAACATTAAGTAATCTCTGTGAATCATCATTTTCGTTCTCCCACCTACATTAACTCTGATCGATAGGATGGGGGACTAAGAACTGACAAAGAAAAAGAGTGTGTGTGTGTTTGTGTGTGTTGTGTATATATTCCTTAATACTCTTTTTTCTTTACCTTGAAATAGAAATGAGACTGTGAAAGTCATGTTTGTTCACCCTCTTCAACAGAAACAACAATTGCTTCTCTCAACATGGGTTTGGTCTTTTCACATATCAGTACAGAATCTAATAAAAGTAATGCCAATTAACCTATGAAAGACACAATGGATTCTGGAAGGATACCCAGATGGATTTGCTTTTAGAAACCATTTAGATCACTTAATAATCACTAAAAATACATCTTATTTTAAATTAGTCTATATTTAAAGTAAATATTCTGAAGTAACATTACTTAATTATGAATAAAGGTAGTACAGTATTTTAATAACTGTAAATACAGAACTGTTTTGATGGTCATTGCTGAAAAAATTAAGGGTTACCAGTTCATCAAACAACAATGATTTTTGAAGCATAAAATGAATTTTTAAACTCAAGGGAGATTTAAAAAGTGACGAATGCCCATTCTAATGATAACCATGGATCATGCATGGGTTTAGAAGAATCATATCAGATTTTTGAAAAAAAATCCTGAACAGCAACAACAAAGCTAAAAAGAATTGTATCATTTAATAAATGCATATTGCCTTCTATCTTCCTGAATTTGGAAATATTTGTGCTGACTTTGTAAATAGTAGAATACTTTATGGGTCTCTGTTTTAAAAAGATGTGCCTAAATAGATGGGAGCCCTGGTTGACCTTATCTGTACTTGGAAGATAAGCAGATCCAGGACTGGTTAATGAACTCCAGGTCATACAAGGTTGGACTGAAGAGGTAAAAAGACATCCAGGAAGAAAAGAATAGTAAACCACTTCCATACTCCTGCATGTTAAATTGCTTGGATTTGTCCACCAAGTCACTATGTTTGAGCTTGGCTTAAAGGAGATTTTATGCAACTTTTATAAAAAAACATATACCCATGAATCTTTGGTGAGAGCTGCAGAGAAATGTAAAATTCAAGAAGGTAGCAGTTCAATAAGGGATCGTATTTTTTACATCATTTGATAAGTATTGCAAATCACTATTGTAAATGATGCATTTCCCCCCATAAAATGTACATGATTAAGAAGTGCATGTGTTAGATTTAACTCAGAATGGCTACTACTCAGCTACAAATAAGGCCTTTCAGTTCACATATGAAAACTATAATTTATAATATCTTCTAATTTTTCCTCTTCTATTGTGCTCTATATAATCTAAGTCTGAAACATACACAAAAGCTTTAGAAAGTAGTTTTATAAAACCAAATCTTGTACAATGACAATTGAGTGAAAATAAGACATTACCATAGCATGGTCTAAAATAAAAAGCTATGTGAATATATACAAAATGCAGTATGCACTCTTAATGCATTTTTCTGCTGTAGTTTCAGTAAATCATTCTGTTAGCTGTCTGAGAATTGCAGCTGGTATATAATTTACATCATAAATATTAATGCATAATCAATATTGAGTTCCAGATTCTTCACACTGTATCTCAGTGATCGAAAGGGTCCTAGGTGGAGAAGACTGCTATATGGCATGCAATTTCATATCATGTAGGACAGAGTTCCTCAAGCTTAGCAACTTTAAGTTGGGTGGACTGGGGAATTCTGGGAGTTGAAGTCCACCCATCTTAAAGTTGCTAAGGTTGAGGAACCCTGATGTAGGAGATTGAGCCAAATTCTTACTGCCTGTCTTTGAACTTGGAGTTTACTACACTGAACTAAGATATAAAACAGAACTTGTATTAATACCTGGAATTCTTATTAATGCTGGACATTCTCTTTCATTCCTATATGTGTATGTGTGTGTGTGAATATAGTTGAAGTCCACCCATCTTAAAGTTGCTAAGGTTGAGGAACCCTGATGTAGGAGATTGAGCCAAATTCTTACTGCCTGTCTTTGAACTTGGAGTTTACTACACTGAACTAAGATATAAAACAGAACTTGTATTAATACCTGGAATTCTTATTAATGCTGGACATTCTCTTTCATTCCTATATGTGTATGTGTGTGTGTGAATATATATTTGTGTGTGTGTGTGTATACATATACATATGTATATAATGTAATTGTTTAGCTATTTTTTCTTTCTTTTAAAAAAAGTGTAATGTCATCCCTAACTTTGTAACCTCATGTATTTCAGCTGTTGGCTGGACTAATAGTAGTAGTAGTAAAAGCATGAGTGTGAACACTGTTGTTGTTGGTGTTAATAACTACAAAGCCTGTTCTGAATGGGCCAGTGTCTACATAGATTGATATGGCTAAAACAGGCACGTGTGCTTCATGTTAATGGCATTATGTACAGCTCTGCAAATCCTTCAAATGCTTTGGAATGTGGGAGCACATATGAAACACTTCTTTTTGAATTAAAAAAAAAAGTCTTTTTCCAGGGTGGTGTGGCTGCATTTGAAGATGCTCCCAATTCCCAAAGAGGTATTTCCTGATAAGCTGAAGCTTTTCTTTCAGAGAGAATTTGTACAACTTGTCCATGAAACTGGTTTTCAGCAAATTGTATTAAAAAGCAGCAAAGGAAGATGCATTTTACTCTCTTCAAGGCAGGCAAGAGAACCAGGAGAAATTAGGAGCAGTTGATTTCACTGTGACCTGCAATAGCACGTTTTCCTGAGAGTGCTCAGTACAGTGCTTTGTATGAGTCAATCAGATACCAGATACAAGTGTCTACTTCCAGACACTTTTATCTTTGTAACTGTAATCCCACTCTTCCTAACCTCATTGGTATTTGTTTGTTGCAATTCTGGATTGGCCAGAAATTACAGTTCCTTGTTTCTCACCCAGGAATCTGCTTTGATTATCTGTCAGAAACTTGTCCTATGGGTGTAGCAAATGACTTATGTAGTAGGCTATGGAGATATTTGGTATATAGGGGAACCATTCAGGCAGAATCCTTAGCATTTTCAAATGAAGGAGCTCAAGAAACAGTAGACCTGGATCTAAGACTTGAGATCCAGAGTTGTTTGCATGTTCAGAGCACTTTGTTAACACAGAGTTGTTTGCATGTTCAGAGCACTCCAGATTAATTGGGGATGTTGGAAATGAAGGTTGGGTGGGGAGGGAGACTTAATTGGTCATCTTTGACAAACTATGATTCTGAAAAGGTCTCCTCCTACCCATTGAATCATTGGAAGCTCTTGTCTGTCTTATTTCTTTTTTTCTAAATAAACAACATTTAAAGAAATTATTGAATAATTATGTTTTGTTTGTATTATTTTGATTGTAAATTTACCTCTTAGCCAGTTGCCATTGTCTGTCTTCTTCTCGTAGAATTTCTTACTTCAGTGGTTTACATGCATTCCAGAAATTAAATCAAGTAACATTCTTTTATAGCTAAATTATGCAGAAATGAGACTTAGTCAGTTGGAAAACTGTCACTGTGAGAAGACTTGCCAAGTAAATGGAGTCATCTATCGAGACAAAGATTCGTGGGTAGAAGATGATCACTGCAGGAATTGCACATGTAAAGTAAGACACTTCTAACTTATATATGGGGATAGAGCAACTTATTACAATTTGGAACTGGTTCTTGGGTAGATCATGCAAACTCTGTATTACCTTGACAAACAGCAGTATGTATACCGGTAGGTTTTGATTAGTGAGGTTAATGAATCCCACGAAATGATCCCATAATTTGAATTCCCACTATTCAAAATTATATTTCTATGGAAAATAGGGTAATTGGTTCCAGCTCGACAGAAATAAGCAATGAAAAATTTTAAACATAAATTTCTATATGTATATTAATGAAATATTACAGTAAAGGATAAAAAACATAATTTAATTTAAATTTAAATTTATGGTTAACAAAATCACAGAGTAATTATAGAAAGCAAAATAAAAACAAACAAATTCAGATTCAGATATTCTAACATCTCATCCTATTTTAGCGTTGCTATGACCATGTTCATGTCATTCAATTACATGAAAATTTTGCTCTAATGTAGTAACGAGCCTCTTCTTTTTAAAACTTGTACAGTACTGTTTTCCTCTGATGGAATCTTCCTTTTTTCCATTTTGCACACATGAAGATTGGCAGTGTCTAAAACCCCAGCTGCAACTGTGTATGTGCTAGCCGCATATTAACTGAATTTTGGGTGGCATTAAATACAGTCTGGTACCAATTTACAATCTGCACTAAATCGAATATCACATTATTCAAACTTGCACTAATCATGACCTATCTGAACAATATAAAGAAGAAAACCAAAAGTTTATCACTTAATTATTTTAGAAGGTTTTATTGTTGGGTAAACATTTCAGAGTTTTCAGTGCACACTTAAATGGTATCTTTGGTAGATGGGAAAAAGAAGCATTAATGTTATGCCTACGTTGCGATGTACGTGACAGCAATGTGTATATTATGCTTCTAGTATTTATCATTTTGAACACCAGAGGAACAAAAGTTGAATTAGTATGAAAACCTTGCCTGGCTGAAATTATTTGATAAGTATCAGAAAAAAGGTCTTGTTTGCTCAAGAAAATAGAAAAGTTTTCATTAAAATGTTGAAGATGATTGACAGAGCATGTGAAAGGTGTTATTTATGTGTTTGAAAAGATAGATTTTTTTTCTTGCTTACCATACCCAGTGATTGTTGGGGGTGGGTGGGAGGGATAAGGGAAATAATTTATTTCAGAAAGGTTATAGAAGTTCATATTGGTGGTGGTTAGATAAGATTCTGCACACTGAAGAATGACATCTAATGCTGCTGTAATTCTGCTAATGATAAAACTTCACACATTCATCATTGCATTTATCTGCTATTGGTTTAGAATGGAATAGTGGAATGCCGACGGATGGCCTGCCCACTACTGAACTGTTCTTCTGATGGCCTTCCAGTCCATGTAATTGGCCAGTGTTGCAAAGTGTGCAAATGTAAGTATAGATCTCTCCTCTTTCTGTCCTAGAATTGTATATATATAGTGTGCCTTTGCGTCAGTCTTGACTCCGGTGACTGCCTGGACAAGTCCCTGTAGTCTTCTTGGAAAGGTTTCAGAAGTGGTTTGCTCTTGCCTGCTTCTAAGGGCTGAGGGCGAAGGACTGGCCCAAGGTCCTCCAGCTAATGGGACTAGAGCTCCTGGTCTCCTGGTTTCTAGCCTGATGCCTTAACCAAAACAAATATGAATTAAGGAGTTTTTAGGGAAAATTATTATGGTCTGGTAACACCAACCTTAAAGCATACTGTGTTTTGCTTTTGTAACCTCAAATTCAAGTATCTTCTGTACTGCCTTGCCAGACTAGAAACGTAGATGGTATCTTTAACTTGAAGTTATACTTTCTTGCTATTGAATTCCATTTAACATTATTTACAAGAAGGCCATATATTATAGTGAACTGCATAAGAAAGATTATATTACATAAGCTTACATAAAAAGTACATTGTGGTGTGTTTGCATGAAAAACAGAAAATACTAGAGAAAGTTTTCCATGCGAGGCGTGTCTGTTTTTTTTTCAAAAACTGGAAAAAGTTAATGAAATCAAATTGTAAATGAATACCAACAATAAACTGGACAGTTTTAGAATAATCTACATATCTTTACATCATATATTTATTATAGGTATCCCAAGAGTGAGGTAAAGAAGCTTAATCATTCATTTTTCCAGAATCATCATCCAAGATAAACAGATAATATTTATAGAGAATCAGAATAAACTATTACTGTTTTGAAACAGTTTAAATTCAATTCCAGATATTACCACTGGAATCAAGTTCTGTTATTCTCCTCAGAAAGTTTGGACCCAATAGATCTCAATACATCCCAATAGATCTCAGTAAGTCAACAGATCTCAGGATCTATCTTTGGCAGCTAGTTTTAGGAAATATTAACCTGAGGTTTTGCTATAATGGCCTACAGCTTGTAGAATTTTAAACAGCCTGGTAATTATTTTTTAAAAGTTTCTAAACAATGGTTGAGCACCTGTATCCTGAACTCAAGGTATATTTCCTCTCCTGCAAAGATCTCCAGTTCAAGGATGAAACTACTTTATTCACTCCTTGAGAGAATCTAATAATTAGAGGAATTTGTAAGATCATCCTACAATCACACCAAAGAGGATGCCTCTACACTGATAGATGTTACATTTGGATTGTTAATATAGCAGGAAGCAATAAAATGAAAATATGCTCTGTGGCTTGTAGTGAAAATTAATAGGAAAATTCCAATCAGTGACTAGTTTCATGCAGCAAACTAAAACCATTGCTTGCTTTAATCATAGTTTACTGAATGAACCAGAACTGAGTGGGTTTGCACAGTTGTAATTGCTGTGGATTGGTTCACACAACTCCCTAAATCAAAACCAAGGAAATCACTTTATGTTAGTACCTTGACCTAACCAAGTTTTTGCAACGTAAGTGTTACATTAATCCTATCCATTGTGATAGTGCTATATGGATTGATTTCTCTGCAACTTGTCCACTTAGTCATGGATAAATCACCAGCAGTAAATATCTTCCTTTAGGGCATATTGAGCAGCAGGGCTATCCTTTTCTGCTTTGTTGATTGGTTAAAGTCATAACATTTTAAATGCATCAGAATGGCTTTTGGAAAGAGGTGTTTCTGCTTTTCTCTGTTTTGTCTTTGGTTAATCTTTTAATAAAAAAAAGTAGTTTTGAGATCCAAACTGACTTTCAGGCAAAATCTGACTTTCTTTCTGGTTTGTTCTGAACTCTGGAATATAAGCTGTCATCCTGGAAAGTGAAAAAACCCTCCCCTTCCACACACACATCAGATAGCAAAATCGAATCTTGTATATTTTGGGATACAGATTTGTGAGGCATCTGCAATAATGGTATTATCTTAACATAAAAATATTTATCGCCATCGCATTATATATGCTTTGATAGAACATCTGCTGCTCTTCTATATGCTTCCAGTAGCTAGTTATCTGCATGGTCACAAGCAGGGCAGATTCCTACTGGCTGGTGTGAGTCCTATTCATCTTGTGTAGTATGGATTTATCGCTCTCATTGTTAAACATTTGGCACTGTATTTCTTGTAGTTCCTATAATTATGTAGTCCAGTTTGAGTAATTATCAGTTGCACTATTTCCAAATAGAGGGAAAGAACAAAACAAATAATGTTTTGGGCAGCATGTTATGCCCAGATAGTACACAGGACACTAGTATGTATCTGGTACTGCATTTTTGAAAGATCAAATCACATGAGATAAACTGAGGTTGTAAAAAATATGATGATAATGGAGATCTTTATAGAATATTGCTTTGTGTTGTTAGCATGCTGTGATATAAACCTTACCAATTGTAGAGAGTATTTGGGGAGCCTTTAAAGTCTAACAGGGGTAATTAAGGAGAAGATTAACATTTCCTGTAAAATTCCTAGTTCTCTTTTTTTCCTCTTTCCCCTCTATCATCTTCACCTTGTGTATTTGAATTTATCCCTATCCTGGAGGATGACATTAATAAATTGTGCAGGACAATCCTTATACTACCTTCCCTATGCATTGTTTCTCCTCTTTTCTTTATTATATGTTAACCCCCTTTGCTGGGCTATATTACCACCTGGTGAAGCATTATTTAATTACCAGGCTTTTAAAAGCATCCTCCTATTCATCCCTTACTGAAGAAATCCTTTTTGGATTCTTCTTTGTGCTCAAATTATACCAGCTTGTGTTTTTGTTTCCTTAATCCCTTGTGATAGAATTGTCCTCTCACAATTTAGTCTCCATTTGTCTTCTAATGGCCTCTTTGATCTATATCAAACATGATTTGGGGCAGGCTGCTGAGAAGTCACTTCCTTGAATTCTTTCTCTAGATATTCTATTGTTTAGGTTATGATCCTTGGACATCAGAGGCAATGCACTTGATTGGGTTGAATTTTTTTGTCTTCTCATTCTTTTGTAGTATAGCATGGTGAAATTCAGTCCCAGGGATATCCTATTGTAAGGATCAGTCTTGGATCCTATTTTATTTACTTTTTATATCCTTCCCATAAGTGTCTTGGAGTGTCTTCCCATAAGTGTCTCCTGGAGTGCCCCAGTTTCCCCTTCTTGCAGCCTTGGTGTCTTAGTTGAGGAACAGCTGAATCTCAGCCTATTTATTGATTTTACAGCTCGGGTTGCTAATGTTCACCTGATGAATATTTCTAGATCCAGATGTTACTGATGAAAGAGTATGTTGTATTGTTGGTACATGTCTTGATTGTTTCATACTTACTGTATAGTCTTTTGACAGGTGTTCCTGATTCTTTTCTGTGTCCCTTGGTCTGAGTCAAGTATAGTGCTGTTTGGGCTGTTCTGGACCTTCTGTGTTATTCTCATATTTTATTACAGCGCAGTGCTGTTCACTGGCTCACTTTTCAAGCCAACTGATGGTGTTTGTGTTGGGAGCCCTCCCCAGTATCACTCTGCCCTTATTTCTTTGGACAATCTGTTTTTTATATTTCTCTGAACAGGGCCTTCTTTGGTTCTTTGCTCCAGGGTCATGATCTCCAGGTTCCAGGCCTTTAGAAACTGGCCACACAATTCTACAATCATCTCCCTTCCCCTCTTATCCCTGAGGAAATTTGGTGACTGTTAAAAGTGTTTTAGGGATATTTTTATTTGATTAATGGGTTAGCATAGGGTCATTTGTTGTATCCTATTCTTATTTATCTGACAGTTCTAGGTTAACACTTGTTTTAAATTATGATCAATGAATATACACTAAGTTCTATCACAGGATGTTGCTTTAAATCTATCATTGTTGTATTGGTTGTTTTAGCATTAACTCATTTGTGCTGTTTGCATATTGTAGTTTTGTGATGTTCTGATGGTTGCACGAATTAGTATCATTTGGTTTGGTGATGTTTTTAGTCTGCTGGGATTAAGCATATCTGTTTTAAAAATGTACACTCATTCTTTCTACAAACAGTGACAATACAGTTTTTGTAAGTCTTTAGATTTTCTTTTTTGTTTGCAAAATATATGCAAATTATAAGTGATGGAGCAGCAGCATCTTGCTTATTTCAGGAAGCGAATTCTCACACTCACACAATTTAAATTATGCAAACAGAGTAAAAGGCTTAAGTAACCCTTTTCTCTCTTATGTTAGGTAAGGCCTGAATGGATGATTTGATCTGAAGGCAAGAATCACACCTTCAAATTGAATCTTTGAATCAATATATGGTGTCTAATTGAACAGGTACCTTCAAACTGGCTCAAAGAGATTAGATGATTGGAAACTTGGAGGGTTTTACAGATGGCTTCCACATATGACTAAAAGTGAGGAGAAGATGAGTTGCATGAAAAGCTTTCTCATACTGACATGAGTTTTATCACCTCTGAAGGCTTTGCCTGTTCTTTGTTGTCCATGCCTTATTCTTCTGGTAGTGTTGGTTTAGGCATTTGGTTCATTTGGAAGGAAGGAGAGAAAGAGTGGGAGAGAGGCCCTTCGATTAATCTTGTCTCCTATTTCTTATCCTGTACTTGTTCCCAAGGCCTTTTATCATAGCCTTCCCCACCCCTTTGTTTCTTTCTGCTGCTTATTTGTTTTGAGTGAGTCTTAATTATGAGTTGGTCTAATTATGCGAGAGTGCTTTTTGACAGGCTATTGCACACATAACGCAACCATCTCTTTAAAACATTGTGTTAACACACATATATATGCACAAACCAGACTTTAAAAAAAAATACAGAAGAGGCCAGTGATATGTGGCAACAAACGTGCCAGCTCAGAAAAGCAAGCAATTAGCATGTACCAAAACCTACCTTTTAAAGAACTTTTGAAAATGTTTATTTTTCAATTGGGGTTGGATACTTTTTGCATTAGTACAACACATAGCCTCTTTTTTTGGACAAGTGGGAGGTTGCTGTGCTTGCCTTCTTCATGTCTACAGTCTCTGTTTTAGAAGAAGTACATGGGAAATGTTTCAGAATGAATTGTACCGAACCCTTGAAAGTATCCAGCTAAACATTTGCTGGGTTACTGTCCTCTTTTTTTATCATATTCTGTATTGCTATGTTTGCTGCTATTTTCATATCTTCCTGAAAAAAAGAAAGAAATGTAGGTACAAGCATATTGATGTTTTTCCATTTTACAGTATTCTTATGTATATAGTCTTTTTATCTAGTATGATTTTTTTTAGCTAATTTAATGTGGATATTTATAGTTTTGGATGTTTGATTTTAATTGTGAGCTGCCCAGAGTCACACTTTGGGGGAGATGGGTGGCATATTAAGTAAGTAAGTAAATAAATAAAGCCAGCCAGCCAGCCAGCCAGCCAGCCAACCCATGGTCAAATCTTCTATCAGCTCAATTTGAATCTAATCTTTCTGCTCTGAATTCAGATATTTGAATCAATTTATATTACCTTTGAGTCTCAAATTCACATGGCTGATTCACATGGTTCTAATAATGTAGAAAAGCCTGAAAAAATATGTATATTCCATCAATTTGCTGAAAATATAGCTGAACAAAATGTAAGATCAAATCCTTTCTTCTGCACTTGCAATTTGTCAAAAAGCAAGGTTGTAAAATCATTTGAGAAATGAGGTTACTCAGTAGTGCTATGTAAGTGGAATTTAATATTTTATTTATATTTATGCTTACTGTAACACTCAATGATGGTGTGTGAAGAAGGCTTGAATGGGGACTTGTAACACAATGTTATGAGACATTACTTTCTCTGGTATTATTAATTCAGGACATAGACTATTTTAAGTAAATACATCTAAGCCAGTTTCTTTCCTTTGTATTAGTTTTGCACTCTGGTCATATTTCATTCATATATTTGTGCCTCAAGTAGCAATACTCTTCCACCAACCTAGAACTTGCAACAGAAAAATCTCTTTCCTGGCCTTGCTTGGCACAAAATATAATTTATATACGTATGCAGGGGTATGGAAAAAAAGGTCAAGAAGATGACCATGATGGTGCAATCCAAGTTTTTAATATGCAGAGCTTTGATTATACCATCACAGCTGCCATCTTGATTTTTTTTGACCACACCTTGCAGACACTCCTGCATGTAAGATACCAGCACAAGGGAAAGCAACAAGTATAAGTCAATAGTTCTGTATAAGAATACTGAAGTTCTACATGGCATTTTGGAAGTCTTTGAAAGAAGAAGAATCAAGCAAAAGGTAACTCTAGCAATAAAACAGTATGGATGGTTCAGAAATGTAGTTAAGGAAATTGTATCTTCTAGATCATGGATATAGATCATGAACTAATATCTTACATGATTATCCCTACAACTGTCTAGTAAGCTAGTTTTGCCCAGAGGCCACCTTAGACATTCCAGATATATCTTGTTCAATTGACAAATACAGTTTCTTAAGTATCCTTTAAGAGCTCCTCCTGTTAACAAATACCTGGCATTAGAGGCCGCTACATGAACAAGAATTGTGTCCTAGATGGTTGTAAAAAGCATTTTATAGCTGTTCCTTTTTGCAACCACTAACATATAAATACAAGTTTAGTTTACTTATTTCAATTACTCATTTTCAAAAACGGATACATCCCCATTCAGATGCTAAATTTGGCATGTAGTCCTGAACCTACTTACTTGGCAGGCAGCCTTGCTGAAATTGGTGGATTTTTCTCCCCCTCCCAGGGACAAATGCAAAAGACTTGCTGTTTATATGGCAGACTCTCTTTTTAGGGATACTTCATATATATTAGCTTTGTTCTTAGCTTTGTTCTTAGCTTGTCCATTAGCTTGTCCATTAACTTTGTTCTTCTAGAACAGTGTTTCTCAACCTTGACATCTTTAAGATGTGTGAACCTCAACTCCCAGAATCCTCCAGGCAGCATTGGTCCACACATCTTAAAGGTTCCAAGGTTGAGAAACTCTCTTCTAGTAGTAGTTGATGAGTTCTGATGGCTATGTGTATCTAAGATGCCGCTATTTAACTCCAAGTGGTTCTGAAGTTTCTTTTTTAGTATGTGGAGCAAATCAGAATCCATATATCATGATCCATTGTTCAGGATTCTATTTATTTATTTCTGCATTATGACCCATTATTCAGCATTCTATTTAAATCTTTCATACAGCCATGTTTTAATACAAATGTACTGTAGCTGATCTACAGAATGTCACTGCCATGAGTAATTCTGTTTTTGAATTGAATTCAATATCTGCATCTGCTATTATTTCAGGTCACTAAGTAGCTAGTTTGTCATTATGAGTGGTGAAATGTTTCAAGATAATATTTTTTGTAATGAATTTACTATTACAGTCAGAATAAATGAGAACAATTAACACTGAAAGCAAAGTGACGACATATTTACTTAAGCAATATTGTTTTTACTAAACTGTATAATTTATATGCTCTTATGACTACATAGTAATGTCTTTATTTTTTAAAATTTTAGCAAAATGCATCTATGGAGAGAAAGTGTTGGCAGAAGGTCAGAAGATTTTAATCGAGAACTGCAGAGAATGTCGTGTAAGTTTTTTTTTAAAAAAAATCTCTGGCTGCAATCCTATGTATTACACTTGGGTGTATTCCCCATTAAATTTTCTTCAGAATAAACATGCATGGCATTGTTCTATAAATACCTAATATTTTAAAGCAATGCACAAACTTTGTAAGTGACAACAACATGTGAAAATATTCATGCATCTTTTTGTAAGTCCTAGATTGGGAAAAATACACATGCCTATCATATAATATGTGTATCTTATGATTTAGGAAGTATCCTTTTTCCTTCCCTACATCAGGAGCTTTGACAAAATATTTATTTTTAACACTGTTGTCATACATATCAGTAAGTTGATAATCACTCATTCACACATCTCATATCTCTCTTTCCATTCCCATTCTGGGAAATGACTCATCAGTGTATTTTGCCAGGTTTTAATATGCTCAGAAACAGAATTCAATAGATTTTTAAAAATGTGCTGGTAGGCTGATCTCAAAAAGGTAAGAAGAGTCAGACCTGGTTAGTACATGGGTAGGAGACCACCAGGAAATAATAGAGCTATAGGCTAGACTAGGAAATCAGGAGAAAAAGGGATTGTGGAAGAAAGCAGCAACAAGCCAGTTTGGGGTTATTACCAAGAAAATTACATGGAAATCCCTGAAGTCACCAGGAGTTGAGTTTGACTTGAAGAAGACTTTACTTTGAAGGAAACTTGAGTTCCTCAACAAGATTAATAATAGTGGTCATCCTTCTTTGGAAAAAGTATTTGCTGACCAATTTGATGAGACAATGTGAAACTCTCAGTGTGAGATTGGGTTAGGGTTAGGACTGAAGTTTGGGTGACATTGGGGCATATTCTGTGAAACAGAACTTCCTATAAGAAAAGAAGTCCTATGCCAGGTGTGCAGGAATGCCTTGATTAAAAAAATGGCAAGAAAGGCAGGTTTTTAAACTACCACCTTATGCTATTCTTTGGCTTCACTATCCTATTATACAGAGAGGATGCTATCTTCTTTAACTTCCATTTATAAAAGTCTCCGTCATAGACTTTTTAAAGATCACAATCTAAAAATAAAGGGAGAAAAGGGATTTGAACTTGTGAAAGTGAGGGGAAAACTTTTCATTAGTTGAAAAAGAAGAAAGCAAAGCAAAGCTACTTAAAATTCATTAAAGCTACCTTCAGCCCCAGAACAGCCAATTCCACCTAGCTATAAAAATTACAGTAACTTGGAAACTGGAGAAAGCTATATTTATCCTCTCTGCTTGATCTCCTTGTATTTGTAATAATGGACACTGCCTTTAGCACACATTAGCTCTGAACAGATAAGCAATGGAAATGAGCATCCAGTTTAATTAGATAACAATTAATACAATTAACCTAAAAGCAAGAAAAGAATAAAAAGTCAATTAGAACACCAAATAGGAAATGATAAGGAAATCAACGTTTTTAGGAACTTTCTTTAATTTAAAGGGATATGGGCCAAATGTGTACAAGAGGTTGTGGAAAAGACTGAGTGATTGATTGATTGATTGATTGATTTATATTTCAAATTTGTCACCGCCCATCTTGCTGTGGATGGTATGGAGATGAAAAATAGAAGTGGAGGTTTATTAAGAAGATGAATTTTAGGTGAATGGAGAGATTGAAGAACAACATAAATAAAACAAAATAAGATCATTAAGTAGGAGCAAGACCATAGAGTGATTTAGAAGTTTTAAAATTTCAATGAAACAATAGAGGAAACCAATGAAAAATGAAAAAGAAACCTAAGGAGGTTCAAAGTGTGAAGAAAGAAATGATAAGAAAACAGGAACTGAGAACAAAGAACAGGGAATCCTAGAGTTGGAAAGGGCCATTTAGATCCTTGAGTCCAATCTGCTGCTGACCCTTGAAGGTACATTACTTAATACACCATTTGTAGATGGCTTTCTAGTATGTGCTTGAATATATCCAATGAGGATGAGCTCACCAGCTTTCTGTGCAATTGGTTCCACTATAAAACTGTCCTAACTGGAAGTGTGCTTTTTTTTGTTTTTTGCAATCTGCTTTATAACTTGACTCCATTATTCTATGTCTTGCACTCTGAGATAATACAGAACAGGTCTTGGCCCTTCATCCGGCACCTTTCCAGGTACTTGAAGATTGTTCTTATGTTCCCTTCAGCATCTCTTTTCAAAGCTAAACATAATCAATTCACAGTCAGTTCTATCTACATTTTGTAGAAAATTTCCAGTCCTCTGATCATCCTTGCTGTTCTTCTCGGGATCTTTCCAAATTCATCTTGAGTGCTTCTTAAAGTGTGGTGCCTGGAACTGAACACAAGACTTGAGGTGGGGTCTGACCAGACCCAATACAATCGAATGGTTAATTCCAACAATTAGGAAATTACAAATCTGTGATGCAGACCAAAACTGCATCTACCATTTCTACAGATACAGCCCACCACTGACCAATATTCAGTTTCTAATCACACCACTGTCTCAAAACCTTTCTCTTAAGTATTATTACTAGGTATCTCCCTGTATTTTATTCCTATTTCCTAAGTGAAAAACTTTATTTTCTCAGTTAAGATAATAATAGGCTTAGAAAAAGACTGAGACAGGGAGAGACTAATAAGCCAAGTATTACTTTAATCAAAGTGAAATAAAAAATGCTTTTTAAAAAAATTACATTTAGAAATATAGAGATAAAACTTACAAAACCAGTAGTGCTGGAAAAGAAAAAAAAGTTCAATGCTTGCTTATTTAGAATATTTAAGAATGATATCGCCACTTGAGAAACAAAGTAAAGGCAGATTTAAAGTTTTGGGAATACACAATCAGTTCTATCTGCATTTTGTACTTATTGTTTCAAATCTCATCCTAATTATTTAGAAGTAAGAGTATTCAATCTGATTTAAGACTTCCTAAAACATAATCCTTTAAAAAAATCAGGAAGCTAGCATGCAGTAAAGGCACATCAGCTTCATGTTTATTTATAAGAATCCATCTAGATCCCACATAACTCACAAAAGTGTCCTTCGAAAACAAACAAACCCACATATAACACTATAGGCCAACATTTTGTTTACAAATGTGTCTTCTTGCTCAAGGAAATAAAATAAAAGCAAGGTAGTAGCATCTTGGGGGCCAGGGGTGATGGTCAACTGTTTTACCCATTTGCCATTTGTTCACGTGGTATTTTGTAATTGATCACCCGGGCAACTGCTTTGTGACAGCACTTGCACAAGGTACTAAATATTCCAAATATGTCTACCAGCCCCAAAGGGTTATCTCTTTCTGCACTAACAATGTAGACAGAAATCAATGCCATTTGTAATGATTGTAATAGAATTAATCCATGCTATTCTGGATTACAGCAAATAGTTTTATTGATTTCTAAGTGGAAATGAACAAAACAGTGCAGTGTATTATTTATTTCATTTCATTCTATTTTAGTGGAGCTAGAATTTGGACAGCACATATCCAAGGAGGAGATGCAATTATAAAGAACTATGCCATTTTGTTGCAGAGTACCAGCATATCAAATATACCTCTGTTGTATATTTGAAATATTCATTTCAAGCGTCTTTTTCTTCAAGGAGGTTGACAATTATGAGCCCACACTGTGTCTGCCAGTCTTAAACATGCTCCATAATTTAGGCCTGTCCAATTATGCATATTGCTATTCCAGGTATCTCTTGATGTCTCCAGCTTCTTGTTCCTTGTAGTGGAGTTCTTTGTATAGCAGAAGGAATCTCTTCTCCATTTTCTTTGTTTGGTAATCTTCTGAGGCTCCTTTTCTCCTGTGCCATCTCTACAACATTGAGATTTGATTTTTTTTGTGACTCCAAAGGTTTTGCCTTAAAAGCTGCATTTCAAACTTTTCACCCTGTTGTCAACCTCTTTGGATATTGTCCATGTTTCAGTGTTATAAAGGAGAGTTGATCAGACACAGAATTTGGCTACTCTTATCCTTAGTTTTAAATCCATTTCCCTTGAGGTCAGAATATTCTTCGTGTCTAAAAAGATTTTCTTGCTAATTTCTATTTGCCTGTTTATTTCACCAGCTGTTTTCCCATCTTCAATTATTAAGTGTCCAAGATATACAAAATTCTTGACTTACTCAAGAGGACATCATGGGTCACTCTTTTTGGAGGGTCTTTTTTCCCAGAGATTACCATCATCTTGTTTTTTAAAAATTAAAATGTAATCCGTACTTTTCACCTGTTTTTGTTTTATCAATTAGCAGCATCATATCCTCTTCTTTTTCTGCCAGGAGCACTGTATCATATCCATATCTTAAGTTGTTCATTTTCATACTACCTATTGACAGTCCTGGTGCGATGCTTGGTTCATCAAATATTTCCTCAGTGTAGATGTTGAAAAGGAAGGGTGATAGGATACACTCCTTAGTACACTCCTTTCTGGACTGAAAAGTCCTTTGAAAAATCTCTTTCAGCCTTAAAAGAAGTTTACTCCCAGTACAGATTCATTATAATTCTAATGTCTTTGCCATCCATCCCAATTTGCTCCAAAGTTTTGATCAATATTTCATGATTTATAGTATCAAAGGCTTTTGAATAATCAACAAAACATAAAAAGATGTCTTTTTATTTTTAAAAATATCTCTTGATTTTTGTTTTCTGATTGAAAATGCCTTCCCTAGTGCCACTATTTCATAAATATGCTCTGAACTTCACTTATTGCATTGTTGAACTATCCTGAGTTTCTTAAGAAACTGACTTCTAATTTTTTTTTTTTTTTGCTGCATGTTTGATAAGACTAATGGGATTTTGTGTTCAGAATATTCTACAGTTCTTGTTTTCCTAGGAATTGGAATAAAAGTTGAGTGTTTAAAGTCTTTTAGCAAGTAACTTGTTTCAAATATTTGGTTGCTGAGTTTAGAATTCTTGATCACTTTCCACCTAGGGATTTAAACATTTCTGAGGTAATTTTATCTGTGCCTTATGCCTTCCTGTTCTTTAGACTTTTGATGGCATTACTTATGTCACAGCCAATATGAGTGGCCTCTCAGGATTGT